CACTGAATTCTAAATAAAAACCACTGAATTCTAAATTAAAAACACTGTATTCTAAATAAAAACCACTGAATTCTAAATAATTACACTGAATTCTAAATAAAAAAACACTGAATTCTAAATAAAAAAGCACTGAATTCTAAATAAAAAGCACTGAATTCTAAATAAAAAACACTGAATTCTAAAAAAGCACCAACATCTAATAAAAACACAATTCTAAAAAAAGCACAATTTTCTGAATAAAATGCACTGACTTCTAAATAAAAAAGACTGAATTCTAAATAAAAAACACTTAATTCTAAATAAAAATACACCAAATTCTGAATAAAAACACTGAATTATAAATAAAAAAACACAATTCTAAATAAAAAACACTTAATTCTAAATAAAAAATACACCAAATTCTGAATTAAAACACTGAATTCTAAATAAAAACACAATTCTAAATAAAAACACAGAATTCTAATAAAAATACACTGAATTCTAATAAAAATACACTGGATTCTAAATTTTTTTAAGTGGTGAATTCTAAATAAAAAAACACTGAATTCTAAATAAAAACACCAAATTCTAAATAAAAAAGCACTGAATTCTAAATTAAAAAAACACTGAAGTCTAAATAAAAAACACCAAATTCTAAATTTAAAAAGCACTGAATTCTAAATAGAAAAAAACTGACTTCTAAAAAAATATCCAAATTCTCAATACAAAACAGTGAATTCTAAATAAAAACCACTGAATTCTAAATTAAAACATTGTATTCTAAATAAAACACACTGAATTCTAAATAAATACCCTGAATTCTAAATAAAAAACACTGAATTGTAAATGAAAAACACTAAATTCTAACTAAAAAAGCACTGAATTCTAAACAAAAAGCACTGAATTCTAAATAAAAAGAACTGAATTCTAAATAAAAAACACTGAATTCTGATTAAAAAATACACCGAATTCTAAATAAAAAACAGTGAATTCTAAATAAATACACTGAATTCTGAAAAAAAACACTGAATTCTAAATAAAAAACACTGAATTCTATATAAAAAGCACTTATTTCTAAATAAAAAAAAACACCTAATTCTGAATAAAAACACTGAATTCTAAATAAAAAACACTATTCTAAATAAAAACCCGAATTCTCATAAAAATACACTGAATTCTAATAGAAATACACTGGATTATAAATTTAAAAAAGCGGTGAATTCTAAATAAAAAACCACTTAATTCTAAATAAAAACACCAAATTCTAAATAAAAATGCACTGAATTCTAAATAAAAAAACACGGAAGTCAAAATGAAAAACACAAAATTCTAAATTTAAAAAGCACTGAATTCTAAATAGAAAAACACTGACTTCTAAAAAAAATATCCAAATTCTCAATACAAAACACTGAATTCTAAATAAAAACCACTGAATTCTAAATTAAAAACACTGTATTCTGATTTCAAAAGACACAGAATTCTAAATAAAAAACTGTGAATTATAAATAAATACACTGAATTCTAAAAAAAAAAACACTGAATTCTAACTGAAAAACACTTAATTCTGAATAAAAACACCAAATTCTGAATTAAAACACCAAATTCTAAATAAAAAAGCACTGAATTCTAAATAAAAAACACTGAAGTCTAAATAAAAAACACCAAATTCTGAATAAAAAACACTGAATTCTAAATAAAAAAGAACTGATTTTTAAATAAAAAACACTGAATTCTAAATAAAAAACCACTTAATTCTAATAAAAAACACTGAATTCTAATAAAATACACTGGATTCTAAATTTTAAAAAGAACTGAATTCTAAATAAAAAAACACTGAATTCTAAATAAAAACACCAAATTCTAAATAAAAAACACTGAATTCTAATTTAAAAGCACTGAATTCTAAATAAAAAACACTGAATTCTAATAAAAAACACTGAATTCTAATAAAAATACACTGGATTCTAAATTTTAAAAAGCAATGAATTCTAAATAAAAAAAACACTGAATTCTAAATAAAAACACCAAATTCTAAATAAAAAACACTGAATTCTAATTTAAAAAGCACTGAATTCTAAATAAAAACCACTGAATTATAAATAAAAAACCACTGAATTCTAAATAAAAACACCAAATTCTAAATAAAAATGCACTGAATTCTAAATAAAAAAAACACTGAAGTCTAAATAAAAAACACCAAATTCTAAATTAAAAAAGCACTGAATTCTAAATAGAAAAACACTGAATTCTAAAAAAAATACACCGGATCACTTCTGCCTTAAAGGCCTGCTTACGAAAACAGCTTTGGGGGCTTTTAACTTGGCTTTTGAATGTCCTAGAGAGCTCAGGTTTGTTTTACATTACTCCACTTAACAGCCCCTATCACCACAAAAAGGAATTAAGTCATTAGCACTTATGGCTTTTAAATGGGACCCAGAACTATGTCGCACAAAGCACAATTTCACATATTTCTGGGACCAGTTCTCTGACAAAAGCTTCAATCAGGCTTCAATCACAGGAAGATAGAATCTAATGAGTTGTAAGTGATCTGAACGTTTCATGATGATAGCGCATTCCTAAGGGGGTCAAATCGTGTCCCAAAGGTCACCAGGCCTTGTGACGCTTAATGGCCGCCTTCCAGTTACACCTTTGTGGGCTTATAACTTGGCTCCTGAATGTCCTAGAAAGTCCAGGTTTGTTTTAGAATACTCTGCTTACCAGCCCCTATCACCAGCAAAAGGAATGGAGTCCTTAGCACTTATGGGTTTTAAATGCCATCCCAAATTTTGTCGCACAAAGCCCAATTTCACATATTTCTGGGTACATTTGTGTGAAAACAAGGTCCAATCAGGCTGAAACATCACATTAAAGTATAATCTATGGAGTTGTAAGTGATCTGAACTTTTCATGATGATAGCTCCTTCCTAAGGGGGTCAAATCATGTCACAAATGTCACCGGGCGTGGTGTCTCTTAGAGGCCGCTTTCCAGTTACACCTTTGGAGGCTCATAACTTTTCTTCTGAATGTCCTAGAGAGGTCAGGTTTGTTTTACAATACTCCGATTAATGGTCTGTATCTAGAACAGAAGGAATGGAGTCATTAGCACTTATGGTTTTTAAATGGCACCCAGAACTATGTCGCACAAAGCACAATTTCACATTTTTCTGGGTCCAGTTCTCTGAAAAAAGGTCCAATCAGGCTGACACATCACAGGAAGGTAGAATCTATTGAGTTGTAACTTAATTCTTTGTTTCATGATGATAGCGCATTCCTAAGGGGGTCAAATCATGTCCCAAAGGTCACCGGGCCTTGTGATGCTTAATGGCCGCTTTCCAGCTACACCTTTGTGGGCTTATAACTTGGCTTCTGAATGTCCTAGAAAGTCCAGGTTTGTTTTAGAATACTCTGCTTACCAGCCCCTATCACCAGCAAAAGGAATGCAGTCATTAGCACATATGTTTTTTAAATGGCACCCAGAACTATGTCGCACAAAGCACAATTTCACATTATTCTGGGTCCAGTTCTCTGAAAAAAAGCTTCAATCAGGCTGAAACATCACAGGAAGGTAGAACATATTGAGTTGTAAGTGATCTGAACTTTTCATGATGATAGCACATTCCTAAGGGGGTCAAATCATGTCCCAAAGGTAACCGGGCCTTGTGATGCTTAATGGCCGCTTTCCAGTTACACCTTTGTGGGCTTATAACTTGGCTTCTGAATGTCCTAGAAAGTCCAGGTTTGTTTTAGAATACTCAGCTTACCAGCCCCTATCACCAGCAAAAGGAGTGGAGTCATTAGCACTTATGGGTTTTAAATGTCATCCCAAATTATGTCGCACAAAGCCCAATTTCACATATTTCTGGGTCCATTTGTGTGAAAACAAGGTCCAATCAGTCTGAAACATCACATGAAGGTAGAATCTATTGAGTTGTAAGTGATCTGAATTTTTCATGATGATAGCACCTTCCTAAGGGGGTCAAATCATGTCCCAAAGGTCACCAGGCCTGGTGTCTCTTAGAGGCCACTTTCCAGTTACACATTTGGAGGCTCATAACTTGGCTTCTGAATATCCTAGAGAGGTTTGTTTTAACATACTCTACTTACCAGCCCCTATCACCGGAAAAAGGAATGGAGTCATTACCACTTATGGTTTTCAAATGGCACCCAGAATAATGTCGTTGCACGCCCAATTTTCAGATTATTCTGGTTTCATATCTGTGATACAAGCTCCAATCTGTCTGAAATTAACACATGTTGGACCTGTGAGGTCAAGGAGCACACAGTATCAGTTTCAAGTCTGTAGGTTGAAGAGAACCCTGTTCTTCAGCTGAAATCCATCATTTTCTCTGACCTCTGTCCCAGAACAGCACCGGAACAACGAGCTACGGCTACCAAACTGCCTGGGCTAGATCGGGGTGACGGCGGCGTGCCAAATTGATGTTTGTTTGGTGAAAATCGGTTGAGAAATGCCACTTTGCCGAGCACATGGCAGAAAAGGAGGGAAAAAAGGAAGGAAAACTGCCCTCCGGCCCCAAAGGGATGCTTAACACGATGCGACCGGCACGAATTCGAAATCTGTGGTTTGGGCCCGTGCTGGGATGTACCCGATGAATTTTCGTGCCCCTCGGACCAACGTGGGCTGAACGGCGGATGAAAAGGGCCTCAAATTGGAGACCAAAATTGCTTTTACATTCATGTAAGGGAAATGGCAAAAATGTATGTGAAATGGCAGAAGGCCGCAAATGAAGCCTGAGCTAAATGTTCACACTTTTGGGCCTCCGTTTGAATTCGGTTTGGCGTAGCCACACGAAATTTGTGGTGGTGCATCCCGGCTACCGTCTCATCCAAGCACATCGAAATTGTTACCGTCTGACCTTTTCGAGGGCCCTTAAGGGACGCGCGTCCGTGCAGATTTTGGCCCCTCTGGGTCAAACGTGGGAAACCGCCCTCGGGAGCGTCGCACGGACCTGGTTTTCGCATGGCACCCACCCGGGGAGGCCCCAAGTCGGCCCCCCGAGTACCCAAAAACTTTGGGAAAAGCAACTTTGCCGTTTCAGGTCGTGGGGTCGTCGTTTTCGAAGAGCACGCCGCCGGCGGACGGGGACGACCTCCCGCGGCCTCGGTTTGACTCCCGGTCGACTTTTGGGACAAAACGTCGGAATCGGGAGTTGGCGGCGTGCTCTTCGAAAATGACCCCCCGAAAGGGTGTGACCCCACGACCCTTCGTTCATTTTGGCCCCCAAACTACTTTCCCCTAGACCATTGGGCACCCCGGGGACCTGCTGGTCGAGAACCCCCAACTCCCGGGTCAATCGGACACCCAGGGGACTGGGGAGCCCCCGTGGACCGGTCGGCTCAGTGGAGTGAGAGCAGCAGTGAAAATGCATGGCAATTTCTATGGTGGAGCGTAGGCACCATCGTGTGGAATTTTTCGGTCGCTGCGGGGTGTACGGGTAATGGCAAAATGTCGGGCTATTGACAATGACTGTCGGGCCATTGGCAGAGCTCATTGCCATTGAGCCCAATTACGGGCAGCGCAGCCGACATTGCATTGGAGGTGTCGGGACAATGTCCCGACTCGACCTTATCTCCCGTCGACGGGGTACTCGCGGACCCCCGCCCCGTTGACTCTGCTGTCGACGGGGTACTCACGGACCCCCGCCTCCTTGACTCCGCCGTCGACGGGGTACTCTCGGACCCCCGGCCCTTCGACTCTGCTGTCGACGGGGTACTCGCGGACTCCCACCCCGTTGACTCTGCCGTCGACGGGGTACTCTCGGACCCCCGGCCATTCGACTCTGCTGTCGACGGGGTACTCGCGGACTCCCACCCCGTTGACTCTGCCGTCGACAGGGTACTCTCGGACTCCCTCCCCTTCGACTGTGCCGTTGACGGGGTGCTCGCGGACCCCCGCCCTAATGACTCTGCCGTCGACGGGGTACTCGCGGACCCCTGCCCCGTTGACTCTGCTGTCGACGGGGTACTCACGGACCCCCGCCTCCTTGACTCTGCTGTCGATGGGGTACTCGCGGACCCCCGCCTCCTTGACTCTGCTGTCGATGGGGTACTCGCGGACCCCCGCCCCATTGACTCTGCCGTCGACATGGTTTATTTGTTTCACACACACACACACACACACACACACACACACACACACACACACACACACACACACACACACACACACACACAGGCCCTTGCGTGCAAACCCCGGTCAGGCCTGCAGTGTACACATCAGAGACAAGATGTTCTTTCACAGAACTGAGGTTGTTCATTACTAAATGACTTTTACAGGAATATTGTTATTATACTATTCAACAGGTTGATCATAATAATGTGTATTAAACCCACAACACAGCACTGAGGACAGAAGAGACTTTAAATCAGTACTTAATGGAAACAATACATAATGATACATAAGAGCCATGTCATACATTCAGCCTAGGAATAGTAGCATTGTGCACTATTAAAAATATACACATCAATTGCTCGAATCTCATTGTAGCAAAGTAAAACTCAAATAAAACTCTGGTCTGACATCAACAGAGAAGACTTAGTGTATGTACTACAAATACAGCATAAGGATTTCGATTGGACCGTGCACCTTGTGAACCATCTGAGGCTTATGATGCAACATATCTTCCAGTTGCTATTAGACAAGTTATAATTCTCGACCATTTTTCGGAGCTGGTTTCTTGGGTCCGTGAGTAAATGCCAAATTAGATGATAGTCCTTGAGTAAGTTCCTGGTGATCCCATGTCACGCTCTTGCCCATCAGCCGGTGAACGCTGAGACGGAACTCAATGAGAGCGTTGTAATCTGCGCTCGTGATGTATTTTTTAAGTGCTCCGAATGTACTTCTAACAAGCGTGCGATTCACTTCGTGAGTAAACCGCAGCTGCAGCTGATTCAAACAGTCGAGCCAACTTTCTACATCAAAATGCGTTTTGTAGTCTTGCAACGTAGCAGCTAGTTGGTCCACAACAGCTTCGATCACCGCCGACTCCGGTACAAGTTCATTTGTGTAGTGTTCGGGGTGATAGGCGTTGTGCTTGTAATGATGGGCATATCCGTGAGTGGTCATAGTTGCGGGAATCGTAGTGGGGTCGTCGATCTTGGCTTGAGAACCGAGCCGCGTACCAGTTGTGTCCATGACATACGCCATAAGACCTGAAAACGCTGCCGTCTCCAGCGCGCTAGTTTTACTCGAGCCGTGTGTTAAGATATTTTTAATGTAATAGCGATCGGCCAGTAAATCTAACACAGGCTTGCCGGCTGAAGCGGCGAAGCAAGCTTGTTCCAACGCCCTGGCTACGATAGCGCCAACCATCATCACAAACATGCTGTGGGTCATGTAGGCTACATTGTGTTCTCTTACAGGCAGACACGCTTTAACCGCGCGATCACACTCCTCTTCTCCGTGCTGCTTAGCATACAATGCACAGATGCGGTTCACGAGATCACTGGTTTGATAATATGTAGGTCTTAGGTCTTGTTGGCCAGCGATGGTTTTATGTCCCATATGGTGTTTCTTGGCGATGGTCAGCAGAGTAGAGTAATGGCCGTACATTACTTCTGGCTGGTATGTGTACGCAAGCCTTTTGGGGATCATGGGTTCGGGTCCGTCATTTTTCTCGCGGAGAGTATACTCTGCGAGGCTTTGCGTTACTTGAGCTTCAGACGAGGAGGAGGATCCGGGTCGCTTTGTTGAGCCGCCGTGTGAAGGCATTATTGTAGTCGGCGACACTGTTGGTCAGCTGAAGGTCATGTGGTGATTACAATACGAATGGATAAACGTGTGCGTGTATTAATAGATGATGTACGTAGGACCTAGTATATTTGTTACAGCAACGGAACAGCTACACCGAACAGCGCGATTGTGGTTACAAACGAACTCGGTGTAGCCAGCGCAGCCATTCTGTTCGACAGTGTAGAGTCGCTGCGCTTGTCGCCTTCACGCATATCGACGGTGCACTTCTTGACGTGAAACAGCCAGCGTTTGTTACTGTACCCCACGAAAGCTGTGTGGCGACAGATGAACGTTCGTTCATCAACACAGCCATTTTTCTGTGTTGCGTTGACCGATGTACCGTTTGCGTCGGATAGGTTGGTCGAGCTACCTTTTGTGTGGCACATGCACGGGTTGTTAGCATCCAGCTCCCAGCTTATAGAGTCCTGTATTGACACAGACGTACTCATCTCGATGTCATGCAATACACAAAGTCTGTCGCATACAGGTGGGTTAACACACATGTACCAAGAGACTATCGCGATGGCGCGCCCGTTTGCAATGGAACACGACAGGAACGTAGATCGATGATCGTTGTTAACCAAACTCTTGTTTCTCACGACAGGTTGCGTTGTCTCCTGCACCTGGTCTTCGTGCACAGAGGGTGTTGTACTGTGCTCGTCATAGTCGCGATCGTTGTCACTCGAATCCGTTGTTCTCACGACAGGTGGTAGCGTTGTCTCCTGCACGTTGTCTTCGTGTGTGGCGAGCGTTGTGCTGTGCTCGTTTTAATGGTTGTCTTCGTACAAGGGGGGGTGGTTGAATACTCCTTCGCGAGTAGTCTAGGAGGTGGTGTGATGGGATGTATCTCAGAGGCGTTATGTGAGCGTGCCACCATGGCCTGAGCAACTGCGACTACTGAGAGTACACCCAGTACAGACTGCAAAATCATTTTTTTTCTTGGGTGTTGTACGTGTGGGTACAGCCGCCTTAATGGCAGTGAGAGCAAGTGGGCAAATGTATTTTTAGGTCACTAGCAGAAACTAAGGCACGTGGTCAGAATGTAATCGTAACCACCTAAAGTAGCTCTTGTCATAATTTAATATACATAGAAATCAGAAACGGACATGTCAGGATAGACATCACGAGTGATAATGCGACCAGTATCTGTGTGCGCTTGAGAGCACCTTGTTGTTCTCCTGTGGTGCCCACGCCGCCGGGTCTGTAAATGTCATCGACCTTCTTTATATACGTATACTCTAAAGACCGTATATTCTCTATGGATTTGAACACGTCCTTTGTTTTGCGTAACGCTTGAGCTGTCTCGAGCGTGATGTTGTGAGCGTACGCCAGTGTTTCACGTGCACCAAGGTCCGAAAGGGCGTGCGCTACAACTAATAACCTTGGTTTGGGAGTGTGGTGAAACGCTCGCTCAGCTGTAATGGGCGAATGCGACGTTATCGCCTGGTATGTTTCGTTAATCGGGTCGTAACACACCGCTCCGTGACACGGACCGTCACATTGTATGAGGCACAGTAAGGACAACACGCCGCCGACGCTGACTTCGCACTCGACCGCGGTGATGTTGTCGATTTGCAAAGAATCACATACGCCTCTCCAATCGCAATGAGGCGCATTGTAGTCGACGCGACCGTCGGTCACCATAGCTTTCGTCAGCCAACACACTCGATTGCCCTTTGAAACGTTGATGTATGGCATGTACCATCTGGACAACAGTACAGGTTCCCACGTTTCCTTTACAGCGATCAACCAGAGCGTAGAGGTCGCCGTCGCTTTACTGTACACCGGGATATCTGTGTGTGAGTGCACGCTCGAAGTTGATTGACAACCGGTCATGTCAGACCTGATCAGACCTTCCGAACACATGACCATTAGTTGTTGCGCGGCCGAGAGTATTGCGATCATACCATTGAGATGTGTAGAAAGCGCGTACACGCCAAGCCTTCCACGTTTCCAAAGTTTCCAGCAGTCTAGAGGGACTTGGCTTAGCGCGCACGGCTGTGCTGGAATTGCGTTGGGTAGACCCAACGGCTTCGACCTCGCTTAGGATCTGTCGGCTCATGTACTCGTGGTAGGTCAAGACGTGTATAGTCGAGCGCGGTGCCGCCCCGAACACTTGACCCGCTTTTGTTGTGGCGACATGCGTGTCCAGTAACGTGGCAAGGTCCACGTGACTAGCGTGTAATGATTTTACAGCTCGCTCATACTCCAAGAGTATGGTCCGTAGAAGTTTGTTCACTTGTTTCCATGCGCTCAAGGAACACAGGACATCCCAACCTCTGTGATACTCAAGTAAACCGTCACAAGCCAGCTGCGTGCACGTTGGAAATACAATCGGTAGTAACTTCTTACTCCACTCTATGTTGAACTCGTATAGTAAGTATAAGGGCGGTTGCGGCGGTTTGCGTGTTTTCCATCTACCCTCCGCTAATATGACTCTGTGGTCTGTCTCCTGAGAAGGTGCGGTTGGAACTTGTGAGAGTGCACTATCGACGGTCGGCGTTTCCATTTCGTCAACTGTGCCATTTTCAGCCACTAGCAAACAGCCGTCGATGGTCGATGCGAGACACCAACATAACGCGTAGACCGCGACCCTCATGCCAGTTTTCTGTAGCGGTACTGGTTGTAGTTTCTGGTGCACACTCGATACGCCATTACGATCACAATTACGTTGATTAATAAAGCCAGTGTTGTAGCGACTACAGCCAGCGCCGTCTCACAACTCGTGTCGGTGTTATCTCTCGATACTTTCATACGTATCCGAGT